CCAATCTGCTTTGGGATTTCTGGGTCTCAGTACCAAGTTGCCAAGCAGAATTCCTTGCCTTGCAGCCTAGGGAAGTTTTCATAACTTTAAATCCTTATCAAAACAGCAGCATATCAAGACACCAACTGAGCAGGTTATAACAATTCACATATAAAATGAGATTATGTAAAGTGTAGTATTTTTTCCTTTATATTGTACAAGAGATATCTCAACAAACCACTAGGCCCACAGAAATTTCATTGAGGAAATAAGCCTTTGCATTTTTGTGGGGTTTCTGTCCCACACTTTGCCACACATGTGTCTTAGACATCTAGGTTGTCTATTATCTCTGCATTTTGGGACATGTCAGCATAAGGTCATCATTCCAAAAGGCCCACAATGTGTATGTTGCAGGGTCAGATGGAAGAATTCTGAAGCCTAAATCACAGCAAAGAGGGAGAGGTGATATAAATAAACCTGAGGCAAGAGCATCCATGTCCCCAAGTGCGCTGGGATCTCACTCTACAAATTTGGGAAAATGAGATCAGTCATGGGTGAGGCCTGAGTTGAATTGGCTTCACCTCTCTGGGTAACTTCCTCAGGTGAGATGTTCAGGAAGAGCATTAACACGCTCAATGTAAAAGTGGGGAGCAACTGGTCCAGCTATCAGGTCCCCCTTGTTCATCTCTTATATTTCCATTTCATATACCATGACCCTTGCTATCAGATACCCAGTGTTTTCTGTTTAGCGCCCTCAGATTTCACATAACTGTCCCGACGATGCCGTGAATTCTACTTATACAATGCATTGTGAACAAACATTCATTTGATTCAGTTATCTTAGCTCTGCTGCTGCCCGGTATGGATACTTTTTAGCACTGAACTAGAGAGTTCCTAAGTCTCCTTCTGCATTTAAAACAGAGTTCAGGTAGGCGAGCAAGTCACGCTCTTTTAACTCCACCGCACTCTGGAGAATCTGCCTGAACGGCTCAGCATTTGAAACCATCGTGTCCTCATAGAGCATCCATCAATAAAACAGAGATTTTCTCAAACCATCCAGGCTTATTTTAAATAGGAACTTTTGATAATTATTCATCAAATCTTGTTTAAATAGTGCAAATACTAAACCAGATAGAATGTCAGATAAATAGGCATAAAACAGGATTTCCCCAGGCAAACTAGACATACGGGTTCCCTATCAAGTTGATCCAGAAGTGCTAATGCCTCCAAGCACCTGGGTACGAGCAAATGAAAAGCATCTGTGAAATAAGATAAAATGCTGAGGTTCAACTTTTTCTATACATAATTTTTCAAATACCTGAAGAGATAAGACAAATGGAGGAGAAACTAGCAGGAAAAAAAAAACAAACAGAAAAAGATCCATAGGCACCTCGGATAATGGAATTAAGAAACACAGATTATAAAATAAACTAAGTCAAGTCTGAAAATTTTCCCCAGGAAAGTGAAAACTATAAAAATTGACCAAGCTGATTAAAAAGCAAACACTTTTATAAATCTGAAAAAAATAGACAAAATTTATAACAAAATGGATAAATTTAGTATAATTTAATTCAGTTTTCTTTCAACAATTAAAATATCCCACCCACCATCTTTTGGCATTTAAAAAGCTGATGTAAACTCTAATTGTAATTTCCTTGTATTTAGCATCTCCGTATCTTAAAGCATCTCTTGTCACTTTATTTTTGATATTCTGCGGTAACACAACAATTTGTCTAATTTAGTGCTTCTTCAACTTTAGGATTGTATCATCCATTCTGAAAAATTACCAGCTATATCACTTCTAATATCATCTTATCTTCATTTATTTTCTATTGTGTCCTAATAGAACTCCTTACAGATTGATACAGGATCTTATTCTATCCCCTGTTAACATCCTTTTGTCTTTTGCAACAAATTTTGATAAAAAGAATACATAACAATACCAGCTATCATTACTGTACATTAAAAGCGTACCAAGAACTGTGTAAGCATCTTACATTTAACTCTTAAGAATCATAATGGAATCTAAAAAACAGACTAAGTCACTTGCCGATTGCCACCTTTGGGTGGTTTCTGTTTTTCAGTTTTGTGTGCAATTTGCCCAATCAAAGTTTAATATTTATTTCAATTGTTGGAATTTTTTATGACTTTTTGTTTTGTTCCTTGTCAAATTCATGTGCTTTTCAAAATGTACTATTAGTGCTTTATCAGTTCTATTGCTTACCTTGTTGAACACATTAATACACATATTTTAAAGTATCTCTCATGTTATCTTTCCTGTTTCTTGGGTGTCAGATCTCATATTTGTTTTATCTACTTATTCTTTCTCATTGAATTTGTTTCTTTTTTGCTTTGTAACTTAGATTGTGAAGTGATCTTCAGCCGGTTTTCTTATCCATGAGATTCTTTTTGTCCTCTGAGTTACCTACTATGTAGTGTATAAATGAGGGAAGTTTTGAGGGTTTTTTGTGTGAAATACCACTCTACTGTGATATTGTATACTGAACTAATTATGGACACCATATCAGTATCTCAAGTTACCTGAATAACACAGTTAATGTACATATGTACCCATACCAGCACATGGCATAGCTTGAGTTTCTCATTACTTGCTAAATTTTACCACACATATAACCTAGCCCAGAGTTGCTCACTTCCTTGATAGATCACTAGACCAAGGGCTGCAATTACTATTTTTTGTTTGTTTGTTTGTTTTTATTTTATTATGTTATGTTAATCACCATACATTACATCATTAGTTTTTGATGTAGTGTTCCATGATTCATTGTTTGTGTATAACACCCAGTGCTCCATTCAGTACATGCCCTCTTTAATACCCATCACCAGGCTAACCCATCCCTCCACTCCCCTCCCCTCTAGAACCCTCAGTTTGTTTCTCAGAGTCCATAGTCTCTCATGGTGGGCTGAAATTATTTTGAACTGTCTTATGGGAAATGATCCGCCCTTCCTTTGAGTTTCAGCTCCAAAGTAGAGAGGAGACTTGGGGCTCCGCATCCTAACTTACTTATTAGCGAAAGCCCTGCCCAAAGGAAGTAGCCCCAAAGCTTTGTGGCCCCACTTTCTGTTCTATAATGACACTCTTTCCTTCATTTCCAATATGCGAGAATTCCCTTTTTGCTATAAAACTGAAGAATGCATTTAAAATATTCGATTGTATTTCATGCTGATTTCAATGTGTTTGGAGAGATGATGACAGATGTCTTCAGTCCTCTGACAGATGTCTTCAGTCCTCTGTCCCAGAAGATGAACCTCTTGAAATGGGATGCTAGAAAGTTCAATACTCTGTCTTTTTGATTCATGGCTCAGGAAAATTTCCCTATATATGCAGACATACACTGTAGAAATAAAATAGGGCTCACTAGCAAGCCCTCTCACTGAAAAATTCTACAATTTCTTCCTTGCCTTTCACTCTACACTTTTGGCTTTATAGATTGGAAGAACATTTCAATCAACCACATTTTGGATACCCCTGGTGTGTGTGTGCTGGGGGGGGCAGTGAAGGGGATGAATAGCTCCACTTCAGGAATGACCAGCTCACGTAAAGAAACTATTGCCTTGACTACCATGCTCTTCCTTCCATTCTTTCTCTAAACTGGGGGGAGTGATCATGTTTAGTGATCTGACCATAAAGAAATAATAAAATAAAATAATAAAATAAAATAAGATAAAATAAAAAATAAAATAAAATAAAATAAAATGTTTTATTTGAAAGTCTGAATTTGGTAAAATAAATTCCACTAGACCTGTTTCAAAGTTTTCTATGAATGTCTAAGATAATTCAGGGTGTTTACCTTAAGACACATTTGCCTATCACTCCAGGTATTACAATATTATCATTTATTATTATTAAAATAATTACACATCTCAGATTATTCCCCAATAGATTATAACTTCTGAAATTACATTGGCTGGCACAAAGTAGTTCCATAATAAATAATATTTAGTAATAATTAAAATAATAATAACTCGTGAAAAATAGTAACATTGTGCAATGGATAATATTTAAGATCATAAATTAATCTTCAAAAACACTGCTAGCAATTTAGAAATGACACATAAAATCAGTATAACTTAAGGGTAATTATAAATCTTGGAGTAATTCATTTGATTATGTTTTTGGGATGCAACATTTTTGCTTCTAGAATTCCTCGGTGACTACTCCAACTCTTTAGCTTATATTAGAAATTGACAGCTCATTAACAGCTCATTAGGAATGCCGTTAACTGTGAAAAAGAAAGATATTCTGCATAGTAGATTCTTACTTGTGAAATGTGTTGAAGTTTAGGTCAGATTCAGCATTTCAGGGAAAATAAACATCTCTGCCTCGCAATAATGAAAAAGCACACACATGCAGGGTTAAAATGAGGAAAAGAATGCCACAAGTTTCAGTATATTTCAGAATATATTCCAATGTGACACACTTCTTTCTGCTACTTTTTCTCTGACTGCCAATTTGTAGAAGTTGCCTGTCAATCTCCATTTCCCTTCAAAACACATTCAGTTATCATTCATTCCAATGTCCTCATTTTAAAATCATTTGGAGATTTGGAAGTATTTGTCAATGGACAAAGCCAAGTCACATTTTATGAATAAACACATAAAAAGAAGATTATTAAAATATTTTTTAAAAATAAAGAAAAAAATGATCCCGAAGTTTTGTTTTGTTTTCAAAAAATAAAAACCTAAGTATAAGAAAACAAAACCTAGGAGAGGAAATCACTAAAGACAGAAACAAAACCAAAGAAAGAAAAAAATGAGCAAAACCACTTCCACTGTTGGCTTATACCTGTATTCATGTTTGTAGTATGTAAGACCATAGTGCGTGTATAAATATATATTCCACACACTCCTGCATTGTCATCTCGACTGTCTTTTACTGATTCTAGTTGCACTTGAATAGCAAAGGCACACAGCAGGTAGATGGTCTAAGGGCCGCCAGGTGGAGGCTCAGGAATCACCATATTGGGTCAACACATGGGAGCTGCCTGGCTATTCCCCTGAGGAGGTGCACTGCTCCTGGTACTGTAACACCATACATGGAGTGGACAGAGCAAGATCCTATTCCATCTCCCTCCTCCAAAAATCCATTTGATGTACTGTCCTCAGATAGAGGACATATCAGATATTAAACTGATAAGAACAGATACTACCCTTGATATTAGCCAAAAGGCTGAGAAGTGATGATCCCAAAGTTGTAAAAAATACCCACATCTATCACCCAGCAATCCTCAGTTTGTTTCCTGAGATTAAGAATTCCTCATATCAGTGAGATCATATGATACATGTCTTTCTCTGATTGACTTATTTCGCTCAGCATAATACTCTCCAGTTCCATCCACGTCGTTGCAAATGGCAAGATCTCATTCCTTTTGATGGCTGCATAATATTCCATTGTATATATATACCACATCTTCTTTATCCATTCATCTGTCGATGGACATCTTGGCTCTTTCCACAGTTTGGCTATGTGGACATGGCTGCTATAAACATCGGGGTGCATGTACCCTTTTGGATCCCTACATTTATATCTTTGGGGTAAATACTCAGTAGTGCAATTGCTGGGTCATATGGTAGCTCTATTTTCAACTTTTTGAGGAACTTCCATACTGTTTTCCAGAGTGGCTGCACCAGCTTGTGAATTCTTTTTTATTTTATTTTATTTTATTATGTTATGTCAATCACCATATATTACATCATTAGTTTTTGATGTAGTGTTCCATGATTCATTGTTTGCATATAACACCCAGTGCTCCATTCAGTACGTGCCCTCTTTAATACCCATCACCAGGCCAACCCACCCCCCCCCCCCCCTCCCCTCTAGAACTCTCAGTTTGTTTCTCAGAGTCCATAGTCTCTCATGGTTCATCTCCCTGTCCGAATTCCCCCTTCATTTTTCCCTTCCTGCTATCTTCTTCTTCTTCTTCCTCTTCTTCTTCTTCTTCCTCTTCTTCTTCTTCTTTTTAACATATAATGCATTATTTGTTTCAGAGTTACAGGTCTGTGATTCAATAGTCTTACACAATTCACAGCACTCACCATAGCACCTACCCTCCCCAATGTCTATCCAAAAAAAAACAAAAAAACAAAAAAACCTGCATCTACGCTTTGAGCATGACTAGGGATAGGAAAACTATAGTCCAGGAGCCAAATCCAGTCCATTACCTATTTCTGTAAAGTTTTATTGGAACACAGCCACGCTCACTCATTTTGGAATTATCTATGGCTGTTTTCATGCTATAATAGTAGAGTGGAGTAGTTGCAAAATATACCATATGGCCCATAACTCCTAAAATATTTACTATTTGGCTTATACTAGTTTATTGATCCCCTGTTAGACCGAGATAATTTTTAATTTATCTTGAGATGTATGTTATTTGAGTTATAAAATGGTATATAGATGAGGGAATATTTCTTTGGCTGGAAAGCCCACAAAACTGGCATCTTTAACTTTGGCTTCTGAACACCTTTAACACCTTTAGTTATAAGTAAATCACTGATTTATAAGCTTAGATTATAATTCTCATTTTCACTTTCTTTCTTGGTTATTACAACAAGAATGGGATGTCAGCTCACAAATGTAGTGTAGAATAAGTGTATTTTAAGATTTAAAATTTTTTTACTATAATTTCTATTTTGAACTCATAGTCCTCCAGGGTAGTAAAAATTTAAACTCAGTGTTTCAGCTTGTGGATTTTTCCTTATTTCACAATTTCCATGTCTGCTTGAGCTACAGAAGTATTGGGGGGACTGGTTATGGATGTTGACTATTCTCTCTTCTAATCTGATCATTGTTCTTGTTTGGTTTTAGTCATTAATCCACACGTGATTCCACAGCTATCCGATATTCTCTATGGCATTTGCTCATTACGATCTAGACAGTTCATCATGAGACATTATTCTACCCTCTGGGCCTTTTCATGTCTATTGGATCTACTTCTATTTCAAAGCCATTTTATGGGGACTTGTGATTCACCTTGTTCTTCTTATAATCCTCTGTGGAGAAAAATCCCCATAGGCTCTACTTATCTATTCTTAGTCTTTATCTTTTTCATCTGGGTTTTTGTGCAGCTTCCTTGTGGCTCTGCCTGAGCATAAGGAGCAGAGGTTCTTTTCTAGAATATACTAATGCTTTATCATTTCCACTCTGTCTCCCTCCATTCTGTGGAAGCCCTGCATTTCTCAAATCCCACTTTTTCAATTCATGTATTTATGCCCAGTGGTCTTCTCCTGTGAGAGAAGTCTATGATCTATACAAAAGAAACTCAAAAGATGAACATATATCAATATATCTTGCCACATCTCTCTGCAAAAGCAAGGAGCCCAAATATCAAGTCGGTTTAAATAAAGGTGAGAGGAAAAAAGGAAAACAAAACTGGGAAACAAAAATAAAAGTCTGTTAAGGTTTCTAAAATCATATTTCAGTACACCAATTGCTTGCTATTGCCATCTCAAATCGTAATCAAATATTAATTTTGTATATCAGTATCTCTTAGTACAGATATATTATTGGTACAGATAGGTTAGATTAGGGTAAAGCAACAATTAACTTCCACATCCTTGTAGTGTAATGTGATACATGTTGATACCTTTTCAACTTCAACTGTATATTCACTATAGGTTGCTGTAGGTGTTTGTGTCATACAGCCTTTCAGAGCTGTAACATAATGGGGGCTCTACCATTTTGAGATTCACCCTTTGAAATATGAGTCTCTCCTCTTCATCAAGAAGAGGTAAAAGGAGACGAGGAAACAATGCAGAGATTTTCTCTGGCTCAGCCAAGACGTGAACTCTATCAGTTCAGCTCACTTATTATTGAATAGAGTTAGTACACATTTCCATATAACAATAAATAGGCTGAAAGTGAGTCTTCTCTATGTCCATGCAAGAGAAATTTGAAATGAGATACAGGAGTATTTCCAACACAGGGGATATTATATGATGATAAACATCCAATCCTTGTAAACTTTTGTATAGGGAATCTCAGCGATCATATTTTCAAATCATCTGATAAAACATACCACAATGCAAGAGAACAAGTCTATCTTGGGAAAAAAAAAGGAATAAACTAAAGAAAACAGTTTGTCTAGTCAGAAGCAAGTGAGGATAATTCCTCTTTCTAAGGGAAACAATTACGGGAGCATCCAGGATTTCTCCTCTGATACATTCCATATATCAGAACCTTGAGAGGCATGTGCAATTTAATTTTATTCCTTTACTAGCATAACCATAATGAAAAGATAAGAATTCATAGCGAAAATGAATGTTTTCAAGTTTGCTTTTGCTATGTTAATGAAATACACTCTGTAAAGAAAAAAGTTATAGAAATATATGAATATTTAACTAATAATAGCTACACTCTTGTGGCACTTATGACATCTTTTATTTATTTTCATTAAATGGAAGCTCATGAAAAATGAAAAAGCCAATTCTAGAGTCAAAGGACATATTGGCATGGTGTGCCCTCTCAATTAAAACATTTTCTTAAATAAGCAAAAGGGAAGTGTTATTGTAGGAGGATAACATGAATTTTTCTTTGTTTCAGAAGTTTTAAAAATTATGATATGTATATATAACATAGAAATAGCATATATAATATATATAATGCATGTGTGTGCGAAATTTAATTTAGGACAGTGTGATTTGAAAAATAAGGCAAGCAAAATTAAAAGATTAAAGAGAAAAGAATAAAATCAAATTTTATTTCAACACAATGTAATAATTTTTAATGTGTATTTAAGAAAATCAGAAATGCACATTATTTTCTTATTTATTGATTTGAACCAAAGGATATGATGATGATTTTTGCAGAACAATGTCTTTGAAATTGCTAGAAAAGTAAAAATAACTGTTTTAAGTAAGAATGTATCTACAGTTATGTATTAGAGCTCTTTCAATCACAAGTCTGTCACACTGGAAAAAACAACAAACATCTATTTAGTTGGAAACAGCATGTAGAGCAAATGGACTTGAGTCAGCAAACAAGCCACGTGGCTGTGGAGTCCTGATTGACTTCCTTTCATTAGTTCCCTCTATCAAATAAACTGAAGTTTAAATTACCATCTTCAAAGTTTAATTTACTTTCTTAGTCAAGCAGTTAACCATATTTATAGAGGTCTGACAATTCTAGGAAAGAAAAGCGCTGAGAGTAGCACCAATATGAGGAGAGAGAGATATAAAAAAGGTAAATTTCCATTTGAAATGCTAATGGAATATTTTTCTACAAATGCATGTAATTATAATTTACCAAAATTTTAATTTGGGGGGCGCTGACATATCAATTTACTTTTAATCAGAATTTCTCCTTCCTTTAATTATATAGTCATTTATTTAATCCAGATTCACAACCGTATAATCCTACATAAATAGATTTAAGCTTAATGTTGGGAAAAAGATGGAATGTTCTCAGCCTGTGGGAAGATGTCATTCTTAATTTAACACCCATATGATGCATTTATTTTATGTCCTATATAATGTATATTTATACGTATTTACATATTTATTTATAACACATATTTATTATATATTTATATATAAATTTGTATATTATATACATATATGGAAAATGTCTATGAAGTTGAAGTCATTAGAGGTGAATGTCATGATGTAGTGTATTTTCTTTTACTGGAAGCAAGTAAACCTAAACTTAGCTAACTCCAAGAACTGTATTATCGATGGGGATTCTTATAGTGGATGACAGTCTGAATTACATATCTTCTAAATAATTTTCAAATTATGAATTCATCTTTTAGAATCAAATTCTCATCTAATATAAGAATCTCCATCTGTAATACAGTTCTTGGAGTTAGCTAAGTTAGGCTTACTCACTTCTAGTAAAAGAAAATACACTATATCATGACATCCACCTCTAATGACTTCAACTTCATAGACATTTTTCTTAGACTGTGTTGCCTAGGAGCCCATGTAGGAGGTTTACTCAATGTAGGATGGGAGTGCCCTTGGAATGAACATCTGGGAGGGAGTGAAGGAAGTAGGATTACACAGATGAAGGAATTAAACTGGAATGTGATTGCACAAAGGCCTCAACCATGTGATGGAGAGCTCTGAAGCTAGGATAGCCTTTCAAAGTTGTCCTGCCTTCAAACAGAGAGGCTCATTTTTTTAAAAAAGATATTATTTATTTATTTGGCAGAGAGAGACACAGCGAGAGAGGGAACACAAGCA